TAAGCAAATAAAATAAAGGCATTCTGTCCACCTACAACTACAAAAAAAAAGAATATGCAATTTCATATACACATAAATCCACACCCACATCTACACACTCACAAGAGCACACTCGTGTGCGCATGCAACTAGTAGTAACTTGCGAGTGGTACCAAGAAGTGCTCCTTGCACCTGGAGGTCGGCAAGAGCTGACGCCGTCTTACAATAGGTAGACGTGCTTGCTTGCCAGGTGAGTCGGGGCACAAGAGAGGTCCAGGCAATTAAGGAGCCGGAGCTTCAAACAGCACTTATCCGTTTACTCATTCAACAAATATGTATCCAATGCCTCCTCTGCGCTTGGCACGGTTTTAAACACCTGGGTGCAGTGGTAAAGGAGAATGACGAGGCTTCCACTCTCCCTGAGCTCACCCTGTGATGAGAGAGATGAACACTTAGCCAGTAGGTGGACACATAAACCCAAGAACTATGAAGAAAACAGGGTGGGCAAGATGGCGAGAGCGAGCTGGAAGGTTCTGGTGGACGGGGCACAGAGGGCAGAGACAGGGCAGGAACACCACTCTGCACCCCTGTCTTCTAAGGGGAAGGTTTTCCTCAACCCTCCTGCTTCTTGCAGGTGTGAAGTGGTTGGGGCTAAAGCCCAAATGGCCCACGCCTTCCCCTGGTAGAGGTAAGTGACTCTACTGGGTAGAGTTACAAAGAACATGGCCTCCTTCTCCTTTCTTCTTCACACAGTCAGAGCCCAGGACTCGGAATTTTCCTGGATACCTGAGGCCTTGGGAGGTGGCTGGCTCCTTTGGCTCTCAACCTTGCTGTAGCTTGGACCAGTCACACAGGGACATCTTGGCTTCCACCTATCTGGTAATTTCTGCCTTATTTCTCAGTTGGTGCAGAACTTGGGAAGGGAGGAGAACTCTTTTAAGATAAAAGTTTTTATAAGATTAAAAACCTTTCCTCCCCCAACAGACCTCAAAACTAAATTAGGAATCACTATCCGAATCTATCAAACCTGTCACCTCAATGAAAACTCCTTCAAATCTCTTCCTTAATAGCTCCAAAGGCACTGCTAGACTGAGAGTCTGTCTCCCAAGGCAAAGTCACTAACAGCAAACACTGGGGTGGCGAGGGAAAAGGACCATCTCAGTCCAGCACAAAATTCATCGGTGGTTCGTGGTCGGTGGCCACAAAGAGGAAGATGCGGAAACGTCAAGCTCAGATAGTCTTACCACGTGACTTTCTATCTACACGAGAAAAACATGCTAGAGAAAGAATTTCTTGAATCCATCTTTTCCACTTGCGTCACGATTTCCTTGGGAGATGGAGTGAGAATATGATGACATTATCGAGAACAGATATTATGGCGGGATTACTCTCCACGGGGCTCAGTTCTGAGCATGAGAGAAATTACAAAAAGATGTAAAAGAAGATATCAGGGTTCCTGATAGCCAAGGGCTTCCCCCTCCTCTACTTATTAAAGCTTCTCAGAGAGCAACATGGAACAGAAGAGGAAATACGGGACGAGAGTCCAGTGGATGGCCAAGATTTTTTCCAATGTTTCCAGAGTACAGAGGAAAACACATCCGCTGAAATAAGAGCACCTACAACGGTTTCACGAAGCACTTGGTGGATGGAAAGCACAGACACATGTTAAAGCTCCAAGCCCACACCAGCGGGAAACTGCAGTTAGCAACTCTATTTCTGGTAGAAACTCCTGGAAGAAAAGAAATGAGCACTGTGTTCCTCTGTGCAGCCCTTCTGTACCTGGCAGTATACCCTAGGTTAGTCTGTGTCCCGAGTGCCTTAAGCCTGCAGCCTATGAGATGAGCACTCTGCCTCCTGGGTCAAGGCCCACCTTCCAGCCAGGAGCTGCTGACCACAGCACACAGGAAATGCTCTCCCTGCTAGGGGGACAGGCAAAGCACAGCCTCCCACCTACTTGTGATTGCAAAGGCAGGGAGAGCCTGCAGCACTCACACGGGCACTGCCTTCTCCCTCCTCAAGCTGCAAGCTGGCTGGGGACCCAGGGAAGTGTTAATAGCAGGGATAGATAGCAACGAAGACAAAGTGCACATTCCCTGAACTATCCCAGGCCCTGCGAGGGGAAAGGCAGAGGAGGACAAGCTGGAAAATGAAAGGGTACCGGGGCTGTGCTCGTCCTGCTCAGGATACACGGGTTGCCACCGGCATTCTATTTCTTCTCACTGCACAGACATGTTGCTATGGAACCAATACATGCCATTGCCACTTGGCCTCTAGCAAATAAAACCGCAGCGTTGGCAAGGGCCTTCCGCTAGCTTCCCCTTAAAGGGATACCATTGATGGTGAGCTTAGAAACAAGAGCGGCATTGTTCCCAGGACACAGCCCCACGGCACGCCAGGCAACAGAACCCAGTGACTCACATTTTACAAGGTATAGATGCATGTGGGGACCAGCCTCTGAGCTTCTTTTTAGGGGAAAACAACTCAGGGCTTCAGTTCATGCTTAGTTTCCCCTTGTTTGGTAAAAAGCAAATGCTCTGTAATATTTTCAGTTATAGTTTGATCTGCCTGAGTATCAACAGCAAACTACTCATGACCCCAGTAAGATAGCAAAGCTGCCCCAAGTGGTCCCTGTGAGTCCCGTAGGTCCTTCTCTTGTCCCCTCACCATGTCCGTGCTTCAGGCTACCCTCTACCCTTCATTCTTTGCTAATAGAACAGTGTGACATGGGCAAGGAATGTGGCATTCCCCCTCTGTCTTCTGGCCCTGACCTTACCCGCCCCTCACTTCTTATTCATCTCTTGATTCTAGATGGCTGTCTAGGTTCTCCTGAGAGCAGCAGATCTCACTGTCCCCTCTTATGCTGTGCTCCACTCTAGGGATACATCTTTTGGGCTTTTCTTGGACAGAAGGGGAAATGGAAGCCCTCAAGTGTGCACTTCTAACAAAAGCCCATTCTTGTGGCTGCAGCATCTGAAACAGAAGAGATCAATATGAAGATGATAAGCAGGTGAACCCTCAGTGAGTCCCATGCTCTAAATCCATTCAGCACATTGGGACATTGGTGGAAACCAGGCTATCTCTGTATGTGGACAAGGAGACACATGAAGGTCCATAATTATGACTCCAGTTAGTGCAGAAGAAAGGCCCATGTTTGTAAAGGAAGTGATGAAGCCAACAAATGTGATGAAGTAATGGACATGGGCTCCTAACACCAGGTTTGGATCAATTCTTTGGTGAGATGAAATGTTTTGCAAATAGGTACACATTGCACACCAACTTAAATGGCCAGATTCAGAGCCAGATCTGGCCCAGGATTCCTGGAAAGCATCTTTCCCATATCCAACTGGAGAATCACATCCTGACACTTCTCTCCATTTTACTGCATGTCTGGGCTCTTGTGTCAAAATCAACATGACTTTCTTTCTTTTCTTAAGGAAGAAACATTTATCATTGACTGAGGGCCAAATTTGTACCATGCTACAACAACCCCACTACCCATTATTCCGCAGCTATAGACAACCCCGAGTAGTGGTGCACAGGTCAGCAGCTGGCCCACACACACCTGCAGCTGTACCCTGGCTCTCAGCTCAGGACCATGTGGTGTTGCAACTGCCGTCCTGTGGAAAGGATGCAAAGGAAAGTATTCCCGCTCCGATGAGGTCTATAACAGACATGTTCTAGGTGCACTCGCTCTGCCCTTCCCTCTTGGTAGTAGGGAGACAGTATTACCAGGAAGTCAAACAGTGAAACAGCACCACTCCTGTTATGGTTTAGATGTGAGGTGTCCCCCAAAAGCTCATGTGTGAGACAATGCAAGAAAGTACGGCAGCGAAATGATTGGGTTATGAGAGCCTTAGCCTCATCAGTGCGTTAGTCACTGATATGGATTGACTGGGTGATAAGCAGGTGAGCCCTCAGTGAGTCACCATGTTCTAATTTCCACTCAGCACATCAGGACATTGGTGGAAACCAGGCTAACAAGGAGACACAGGAAGGTCCATAATTATGACATAATTATAACTGTAGGCTACAGGTAGGGTGTGGCTGGAGGAGATGGGTCACTGGGAGCATGCCCATGGGGTTTATAAGCTGTCCCTGGTGAACAGGACTGTCTTGGCTTCCTGATGTCCATGTCCTGAGCTGCTGTCCTCTGCCTACCCTTCCGCCATGATGTGCTGTCTCCCTCAGGCCCGAGCAATGGAGTCAGCCATCCATGGACCGAGACCCCTGAAACTGTGAGCCCCAAATACATTTCTCCTCCTCCCCATTGCTCTTGTCAGATCTTTTGGTCCTTTGGTCACAGTGGACGAAAAGGTTGACTAAAACAACTCCTGACCTTTGCCTTAGGGCAACAGAACGTTACCGTTAGTTTATTGGTACTACATTAAGTGGAACTACCCATGTAAATCTATGTCCTCAGAAGGAAGCCGTGGATTCAACAACAGACTGAAGACCCTGCAGACTCGCAGCCTGAAGTCAACACCTCTCTCCTAGTCGGACTCGGCTACTGTCTGCAAAGCCATGAACAAGTGACTGGACGCTCTATGGCCCGCGGAGGCCTCTTCTGTACACAGGGCCTCTGCCAGATGACCCTGAGATCCCATCTACTTGCTCACGTCCTATTCTTTGTTACAGTATTTATGAGACAGCTCAGTCCTCTGAACAAAATGGACAGTTCCCCCCCCCGCCCCCACTCATGGCCATATCTCTGCACCTTTATGAAGGAGAGACCCTTCATCCCTGTGAGCCAGACAAGGTAACAGCAACCACATTAACTGATGACGCATCAGGGGCAAAGCATGGCGACAGCAAAACAAAGTTGCGTGTACAGGGGAAACCCCCCTTTCTAAGGGCCCCGTGATAAGAAGAGGTGAACAGAGCGTCCATCTCGGTTCCCAGTTGGAGAAAACTTCTGGAAAAGGAATGCTATCAAACACTTCTCCTTGGGGCCTGGCAGCATTGGGTAAAAATTTGATGTGAGTTAAAAAAAAAGACTATGGTCGATTTACAGGATCACTCACCCTATGGAAACAGCAGGTTGGTTTCTTTTCACCAAGGTATATTTTGGTCTAGTTTCTTTGGAAAACTGGAAGAGAAAAAAAGGATTTAAGACAATGACATTTAGTCCATTTGCTAAGTTGGTGCAGGCCAACAGACAGAGCGCAAGAAATTCTAGCACCCAGTGCTGTGGCACTCGCTAGGTGCACAGTGAACCTCTGGTGTATGTTTGCTTGGCTAACTGTGTCAATCTTAAAACAGAGCTTTAAATCAGTGGATGTGCCGAAAACAATCATGTGCATGATTCATTTACCACAGGGAGTGTGACCTTTATCCCAAGGAGTGCATTTTGTGGTGCCCGGGAAATAATCTTTTAGGGGGTCTCTTTTCAAATCTCTGGCCCTGCGTGCTCACCAAGGGGCTGACTGAGGAGGTCTTAATAAAGAACCGGAGGACCCCACTTGTTACACTTTGTTCTTCCCCCAGTGGCATGCCCATAAGTCCACTCCCCATGACGGTCTGTAATTAGGATCCTGTGTGAAGGTGGAGTTGGCAGACAAGCACGGAGGTCACGTATCAGCCCAAATGACTTGCCCTGGGAGGCAGCCACGATGTCTGGGAGACTGACTGGCCAAACCACGTCGGAAAGAACCGAGACATTGTTCATGTGAGATGGAGGAGGCTGAAAGATGGGCAGGTAAGGACTGAGACCAAAGGCTGTCCCAGCTACGCCACACGAGGGACTCGGCTCAAGAGTTAAGGTTGAAAGGTTTCCAGAGACTGCCGTAAAGACACCTCTGCAGGCTGGAGGGATGGGAGTGAGGTGAAGCTGCTCTGCTCCCGAGGTTCCCCTGTGACAGGATCCCACGGCCTCTGCGCCTGCTGTTCCCCCACCTGCCTTTTTCCCAAGAGGAAGAAGATGGCGCAGCCATGAAGGTAACATGGAGCGTGTCCTCCTCAGGTGTCCCACTGGCCTGGAGGCTGAGTCTCAGACTCAGTTCCTCAGAACCTGAAAGACATGTCTCAAAGTCCCAGGGAGAAGTGCCAGTGTTCAGGCAACCCCCACGGTCCTGTTCTCCACTGGCCTGGGACAGACGAGGTCCACTAGGAAGATGTGGCTCCCGCTCCTGAGAAGATGGGGGCTTAAATGTCCACTCACACCAGGGAGACTTTTCATCCGGGTGGCAGACAAGGGGTCCCCAAAAGAATGACCAAGGACCACAAAAGCTGAGTGCGGTCAGGCCCTGCATTAGCACCTCAGCCCTTCACCTGGCTGCGCAGTGCCCTGGACTCAAACTCTGAGTGCTTTCCGCGTATGCATGGGGGCAGGGATGACCCCGGCTTCAAAGATGGGCTTCGTTCTTACATCAGCACTTGGTAGGTAGGAGAGGCTGACCACTGGGCACCATCGTGCACATCTGTAAAGATGGAGGAGACTCCAGAGAGTCTCATCACCTGATCATTCATCCACTGGGAGTGCCCACACTGTCCTCTCGGTCCTTCCAACCCCCACTCCTCAACTAAACGAGACGAGGGCAAGCAAAAGAAAACTGTTCCCTGATGAACAATTAGGAAATAGAGTTAGGAAAAACCCAAATAACCCAGATCAGCCAAAGTACTACTGACAACCTTGACAGACATTTTCACTTATGTGGCTCCAGGTTCTCCCCTATGACCAAGGACCCAGACGGACAGTGAACACAGACAGAAATAAATTTATTCACAATTTATTTATAACATACTATGAGAGTATTTATATTATTTTGTTGCCTAATAACTTTTTACCTGACGTGTTGAAACCATCTTTTAACCTAATGAATCTATCCACATCATAATCTTTAGGGACCACAAGAGTATTACTATGAAAGAATGAACCAATAAATATTTACTGGTTGAGTTTACAGAATCTATAAAATACCCATATTTATGGGAAATGACGGCCCACTCCAGTAGCATGTTGTTCTCTTTTTTTCTACATTTTCTTCAAGATTAAAAAAAAAAAGACAGATTGCCTATATATAATAAGTCTTAACAGCCAAAAATTGTTTTGGTTTGAGTGGGAGTACCTTAAAAGAATACAAGCCAACATATATAGCAAAGGGAGTAAAATTAAAAACACAGCACTCAGTGGGCATCCAAGATATTGAAAAGGGACAGGATTTAAAGATCAGAGATAACAGTAGACACGGAAGCCCATGCCAAGTAGGAAATCTGAGGTCTCAAGCTGATCAAGCATTCTTGTTTCCACCCCATTCACGGAGGAGTTACTTGATGATACATACACAGAAGGGCAAGCTGAACATTCTAGAGTGGTCAGTGGCCCCAGACATTAAAAAAAAAAAAAAAACTTCAAATAATGTGGTTTAAATTACCATACATAGAAGATATAAAAAGTTGGAATGTTTGTGAAATGTCAGTATTTCTAGGTGAATTTCCTTCTCAAAGAAAACAGTAGGTTGAGTATAGGCACAGGGGATGGGGTTTGCATGAGTCATGGAATGTCCATGCCCTCAGTTAAGAAAATAGGCTGCGACACCAATGGTGATCAGTGGCATTTCAGGAAAGCCACCACTTTGGAGGGAGGCTGTGGGAGGGAGTGTGTCCCCACAGCTGTCAGAGGGACACAATTCCTCCTCCACCTACAGGCACAGTAAACCTTTCCTGGGGATCCCCACGCTGTTCCTGCCACAGGCAAGAGGGGGAGGGATGGCAGGGAACAGCAGCTGGAGCAAGCCAGGACACACAGAGGCAGCAGGAAATACCAAGTCAGATACCCACTGGGAAATCCCAGCGGCCACAAGGAGAGAACGTCTGATTTGTGAAGCCAGAAGCCCTAGGAAATGGCAGGTGACATGCTCCCTTACAACCAATGTTCCCTAGGGAAGGAAACTTGGTGTTTCTTCCCTGGCCCAGCTTATTGCAATTTTGAGGGGGAGCAACAATTTGTGGAGGGCTCATTTTGTTTGTTTTGACAACACTAAGAAGGATCAACTTTAGGAGAAAGGACAAAAGACCTTACATTCTAGCCCTGTACAGAGTCTGACAGAGCCTCTATCTGGCAACTCACAACCAGAGACTCACTCTATCATGGAATACGATCTGAGCTATTTTTCAACAAATCTCATTGGATCACACAATCCAGGAGCCAGAGAGATGTCTCTAGATCAAACAGGAAGCATAGAGGGATGGAGTTTTTGCTTTGCCAATTCTCTTGTGGTCACTGCTTTCTCCAGGAGTAAGCAGCAGGGAGTCGGTCTATGTGGTGTGCTATACAGCATCCCTTTTATGCAGTCGAAGCTAAAGTGTACACACCCTCAAATTTGCTTTCAAAGGTGCACATGGTATTCATAAGCTTTCAAGTTTGGCAAGGGACAGCCCATGACACTCCTGCAGGGCAAGCACACCCATGAAGAGCTGGAGTTTAGATTCTGACAGCTCCACCCAATTATGTGTCTCTGGTAAATACAGCATATCCAGGAAAATGGTGCTGACACTACCTGTCCCACAGTCATGTGTGTTTTCAGATTACTGACTTTTGGAAATTTTCTCCTGACATCTGCTATCGTATGGATCTGGAAATGCCCCAAAGAGGTGGTCTTAGGTCATTGAGCATGTGTCCTTGGAGGGGCCTATGGGACCCCAGCCCTTTCTTTTTTGTTCCCTGGCCATGAGATGAGCACTTCTGCACCACCACGCACTCCTGCCAGGAAGGGCTGCCTTGCCATAGATTCCCAAAACCTAATGGGTAAAGAGATCATGGACTGGAAATTCCAAAATTGTGAGCCAGAATAAACCTTTTCTCTTTTCAAGTTAGTCCTTTCAGGTGTTTGTTACAGTGACGGCAACCTGACTGATGCACTATTGTTATATCCTCTTGATTAGGCTTCTGATCTCTTAATGACTACCCCTTACTGAGTGCCGATTTCTGCTGACGAATTTTTATCCATTATCTCCAATTCTAACAGAACCTCTGTAAAACAGATTCTATTAGCCCTATTGTATAGAGGGGGAAAATGTGGCTCAAGAAAAGTGCCCCATCCATGTCACATGAGCAGCAAGGGACTGGGGCCGTCAGGGTCATGGCCAAAGAGATGAGCTCCCCAGCAACATGCTCACGGGTTTCCGCTGCCAAGCCTCCAGGCATTCTGTAAAACACACAGAAAGCAAGCACCTGCTCTCACTCAATAGGCAGGTATTCCTTTCTCAGGTAATTTGGGGGACAGGGCGGAGCCAGTGGGGATTCTAGAACAACAGTCACCCACGGCTCTCAGGGGAGAGTCGGGGTTAGCTACCCAGCAGTTGCCGGCAAGCACTCTCAGGCAGAACTGCAGCCCCAAAGTGCTGACGGTCGCAGCAACAGGAGATGCAGCCTTGGCACGCGGGTCTGACAATCACTTTGCAGCATTCTGATTATGAGCCACAAGCATGCAATCAGCGGCAGAGACGATCCCAAACCATCCCCATCAGCATTTCACTTCAGCTATCAAAGCGCGGAGGATTGAACACAATCTCATCTGACCTAAACGCAACGTTAATAACCCGAACACAAAGAATGGGCAGGAATGTAAAAAGGCACCCGACCCCGAGCCTTACTGGGGGCCACGGGTTGTAACAGATGGATTCTATGTTGCTGAACTTTTTTCTTTTACTACCTTGGAGTAAGTAAATATTATTTATGTGTTTCTCATCTCATAGATGTGTCTACAGCACAAGGAATTTACAATCAGTTAAGAGATAAGCAAGCACACAAGCTCCCTAGACTGAGGTACACACATCTACAAGGAGCCCTTTCCATACTCCATGGCAAATTTTGTGGGTCCTCATCTCCCCTGCTAACTGGTGCCCCAGCATTGGTAGCATAGGTTTTATATGGTTTATCTCTACATTCAAGATATGCAGAAGCAGATGCATTTTCATGGGATCAGAAGAGGCAAGACCACTAAGGCTAAGTCCATGGCTAACCTCAAGGTGTCACCTGCCTGTCACAGGGCAATATCCGAATTCCCAAACTTGTCCAAAATTGAAAAAAGGATTGTAATTATATACCAGGAAATTGAGCAGAGATCTGCTCTGAGGGAATACAAGCAT